AAAAGCCGTCAGGACAGGAAGGAATGTCCTCCCCACACAAAGGTAGGGGTCTGGGCAATCGGGGTGGGGGGACACAGAGGCTTCTGGGCAGTAGGGACTCGGGCATTGTCCCACGCACCCCACCCCCTGCCCCCCCACGCCGCCCCCCAGACATCGCTGCAGCGGGGCTCAGCCCAGAGGGCATGCCAGCCTGCCCTGTGTACGGCCGAGCCTTCCGGCTCGCTCGCACGCCCGTGGCCTGGACCAGGGTGCTCCCCAACGCTCCAGAGCATGGTTCCAGGAGCCGCTCAGGAGTCTTGGCGAGCAACAGCGGGGTCTCTAGGAAAAGCCCAAGCGTACAGGCGAGGAGAAAAACAAGGTCGCCCGCCACCCCGCTGTCATAACAGTTCATACTTGGTCCTCTTTATTTTGATTTTGGGCTGACGAACTCACCTGGCTAAGAGCACACTATTTCACCTCCAGACAGCCCGTCCCCGTCTCTTTCAGGCGAGCGCCCCCCATGGCTGCCCCAGTGCTGTTAGCATTTTGCACAAAACCCCCGCCCCCTCTGCCTTCTCTGGACTTAGACTCCCCCTTCTCCTACCAGCAGGCTACGAAATGCCCTTCCAGATGGCGTGTTCCAGTATGACACGTTGGGGTTCCCCTCGCTCGCTCCCTGGGACACAGAGCTGTGTCCCTGTGGACCCGTTTTCCCTGCTTTCCCCAGAAGCTGGAAGTCCGGCCCCAGGCTCGGTCAGGCACAGGCAGGTGTGGACAGGAGGACAGGGTGGGCGCTGCAGGCGCCCCACTCCAGGGCGAGAAGCCCCCGGGCCCAGAGTGTGCAGCTGAGAGCACGGGGCCCCCGCCCACGCGGCCCCACTGGCTCTCAGGCCCCCCCGGTGCCCAGCAAGCAGTCTGGCGAGGCGGCCCTGGGCGCCGAAGACGTCACACACTGGTGCCTTACGGAGCTTGGCCCCGGCGCCCCGAACACGGGGCTGAGCATCCTGGTCCCCTGATCTGTCCCGGGCCTCGGTCTACATGTCTGTAAAGTGGGTGCCTGGGTCCTTCCACCCTGGCCCCCAGGGGTGAGCGGGTCCGGTCCATGCAGGGGCTCCCCCAGCGTCGTCTGTCCCCCAGGCAACGACACCAACACCTGCCTGTGCCTGAACGCCACGGTGTGCGAGGTCTTCCGGAAGGGCTACCTCATGCTCTACCCCTTCAGCACCGAGTACTGCCTCATCTGCTGCACGGTGCTCTTCGTCATGTGGAAGAACACGGGGCGCTGCCTGGCAGCCCACGCCGGCGCCCGCCACGGGCCCGCACGCTTCCACCTGCACGGGGCCATCTTTGGGCCGCTGCTGGGCCTGCTGGCCCTGGTGGCAGGCGTGTGCATCTTCGTGCTCTTCCAGATCGAGGCCAGTGGCCAGGCCATCGCACGCCAGTACTTCTCCCTCTACTACGCCTACTACGTGGCCGTGCTGCCCGCCATGAGCCTGGCGTGCCTGGCGGGCACGGCCATCCACGGGCTGGAGGAGCGAGAGCTGGACACGCTCAAGAACCCCACGCGCAGCCTGGACGTGGTGCTGCTGGTGGGCGCGGCTCTGGGCCAGATGGGCATCGCCTACTTCTCCATCGTGGCCATCGTGGCCACCCGCCCTCACGAGCCGCTCAACCGCCTCATCCTGGCCTACTCGCTGCTGCTCATCCTGCAAAACATGGCCCAGAACCTCTTCATCATCGAGGGCCTGCACCGGCGCCCGCTGGCGGACGGGGGGAGGCTGGAGGCGCCGCCGCCCCGCAGGAGCTCCCTGCTGGAGCTGGGCCAGGACCGGAGGCGCGCGTCGCTGGCCCACGTCCACTGCTACAGCCACCTCAACTGGAAGCGGCGGGCGCTCAAGGAGATCGCCCTCTTCCTCATCCTCTGCAACATCACGGTGAGCGGGGCAGGCGGCCAGGCTGCGGCTGGCCCCGGGCCGGCTCGGGAAGGGAGGGCGGGTGGGGGCGCGCTCACAGCACAGTGGCTGTCCCGGGGTGGCTGTCCCGGGGCACAGTGGCTGTCCGGGACACAGTGGCTGTCCCGGGGTGGCTGTCCCGGGGCACAGTGGCTG